GCCAATACTGGCTACAAACCGTCCAATCTGCATGGCATCCCTGGCTACCTGGGCCCGCGCGCAGGGCCGGGTCTTCCCCCCCTGCCCAGGTGACCCGAGCATCGCCTCCCAGGCGCCAGGCTTTTGTCTGCAGACAAGGAGCGAGATCCCCGCTGTGAGAGATTCAACAGCAGCCTCTCGGGCTGGCTGAGACAGATCTCTGGAGAGGGGCACCGACGGGGCATTTCTGCCACACAGGGATAAGGCAGGATCCGCACCTGCACCCCAAAAGTGAGGGGGTAGCGTAGTGTGGGATCATCAAACAGGCAGAGCTGAGCATCATGCAGCACAAAATCATGCAGGATGTGGAGACTCAGTGGAACTCAACATATCTGATGCGCGAAAAGCTGCTTGAGCAACAGAAGACCATCCATGAGATGGTCTTGCTTGGAGAGATTGGGATTAGCGGTCCCCTTAACAAAGCTCAGTGGGATACCATCTCCCAGCCATGCCTTGAGGCCACCAATAGCCTCAGCGCTGGCGAGGCCCTCCTTAGCCAGATGATCCCCAGAGTGAGGGAACTTCAGAACCAAATGGAGAAGTTCCAGGGGATCGATGTTCTTGGCTGGGGCAAACCACTGTCACCAGAGCTGCAGGTATTGGTGAAGCAACTGAAGGAGGGCATCAAGAAATGGCTGGATCTGTTGCAGTCCAGTACGGTTCACATGTTGGTGGCCATGTGTGACCCAAGGGTGAAGGGGAGTGTGTGTGCCAGAAAAACCCTGGATCACTGGGTGGAGATGCTGGTGAACAGAGTCAGGGAGGCAGAAGGACAGAGGCGGGGGGATTTGGAAGGGGAGGAACCACTGTCCGATGCCAGCATACCACTTTCCAGCCAGCCTCCTCCACCACAGGCACTGCCAATGTGGGCCAAGAGCATGGCTTCAATGCTGGGGTCCAAATGTGTTCCAAGCAAGAGGGTGTTCAGCATTACTGGGGATGTTGTGACACCCCACCGCAGCCCCTTTGCCGTACGGGGCAAGCCGCAGCCAGATGTGGCAGGATCTGGCCACGGTTGCCTGGGAACACCTGTCCTGTCCACCAACCAGTGGTCTGAGCGAGAGGGTGTTCAGCATTGCTGGTGATGTTGTCATGCCCCACCGCACCTCCTTGGATCCTGATTTGGTGGAGCAGCTGGTGCTACTCAAGGTGAACCTCCCGCTGCTGGGGTTCCCCAAGCTCTATGTGCAGATGGAGTGAATACCACCCTCCTCACTCTGTTCACACCTATTTCCTTTTAAAAAAAAATAAAAACCATTTAATGCCCTGCTCTCAGAGCTGG